CCCCAAAACCCCAAAACCCCAAAACCCCATTACATAGATTTTAGTAATTTCTAGAAATTTCTAATAATAAAAAAATAAAAATATGAAGTAATCAAATCTTTAGCATAGATTATGGAAACTCATTAGGTCTTAAGATTAATTTGGACATCCAATATCTTTCAAGTATAACAAAAGTTCAACTTTCCAGACAACTTTTGGAGGAACAGTCTCACTGATTCTAAAAGTCTTAATCATTATTTTCTTGATATAGGAGATTATTAAAGTAATTGATAAAAAAAGCAATATTACAAATACATTATACAGAAAGAATCTTGCACTTGATACTAGAGAAGTTATTATTTGAAAGGAGGATTTTGATTTTGGATATAAAATATAATCTTATTGGCCTTAATTGGACATAATTGATTGATATCTTGAAGTGTCTGTTTCGAAGATATACTTAAATTTAAAAGATTAAAATTATGAGACCTATGTCTAAGAATTACCCATCGCTAAATGCGAAAAGGGCAGGTTCAAAGGTGAATCTATATAGACTGAGAGTTTCAATATTACTGAATACTTTTATTGTCCTACAGATTTCGAAATAGCATTCTAAGGATAATACTCTACTTTAATATCGTAATTTCTCTCAATCGACATTAAAAAATGTAATTAAACTAATCTAAGCTTGAAGTATTCAAACCTAACTTGTGCCCCAGACAACGAAATAGATCAAGTAGCAGATTAGCTAGAGTTTAATATACTAATGACTAATCAGTTTACAGATATTAATGAAAAAATGGAAATCCGATAAAGACTGTTTTAAAAAATGTTTTTTTAAACGCAAAGTCTGGACTTTCTTAGTATTATCAATTAAAGTTAAGTTAGAATTTTCTGGTATAAAGTGAATCTTCTCTAACGAGTATGCTAGGTTGGAGTAATTTGACATATTACAGTATAAATGATGATCAGTATTAATTAACAGATTTCAATTTTACTTAATCATTGATTTCCTGCCAGATTTTGCTTGATGATGTTATATTGACAACAAAGATTGAAAGATACACTCTTCTAGATGCTTTAACAAATACAGGGGGTCTTATTGGAATTTTAACTATCATTGTAAAAATATTTGTACAAAAGATTTAAGAGCTTATCTTTTATTAATCAATGGTTAGAGACCTATTCTTTGTTTAAGAGGATCAAATTTCTAAAACTTCGAGCCAAGTACTGAAGAATGAAAATTAATAAACCAAAAAAAGCAACAACTAACTGAGATATATAATTAATGAAATTAAGTCGTGAGTTCCATTTAATTACTCAGTGTTGAAATATTGGACTTAAAAGGTATTATTATGGTTAATTAATAAAAGAAGTGAGAAAAAAGAATAAAGCAGATTACTATTTGAATGTGCAATTAAGTAGGTAGATAAACAATTTGAAGTCCTATAAATTCTTAAAAATCAGCAATTGACATCTTTTTTGGTTAAAGTTGCACTAGCTAAATATCAAAGAAAGCTCGTTCCATATTTCAAACAAAATTTAATAAGAAAGCAAGAACGGAACAATGATAATTGTGTAACTGCTAAAATTTAAAGCTTCGTCAATTCTCCAATTATTAGTAAAAATGAAAAAGAAGAGACCTATTGGAAATTACTCAATAAAAATGATAAGATTAAGAGAAAGCTTTATGTAGCTAAGGTACTTCAAAACTTTAATTAAATTCAATAGACAAAAGGATTTTGAAAAATCTCGATGTATTTCATGATTAAAAGGCTAAATAAAATGTGACTAATTTAATAGTTGAGAAGACTGTTCTTAAGAGCTTGAAAGTAAAATTAAAGTAAGAATATGAAAACTAATGGGAATCAGTTGATAATTTAAATAAAATCTAAGAGAAAATATATTTAAACAATGAATAAGTGGATTAGAAGTAATCAACTTATGAGAAATTGTCTTCTTAAAATCTTGATTAGACAAACCAGACATTAGTAGAGGATATAAATATAGTCAATGAGTTTATAGAAAAAGAATTTTGATTTCTTATTTGAAATACATTTAAAATGATTTACTAATTAATGCTAGCGATTCAATCTTATGGGGTTTTGGGGTTTTGGGG